CTTAGGTATGAAAGCTGGCTGGGGTAATTTGGGCCAATCACCAGGAGATTGTGAGTTCTAGTCCTGCCTTAGGTATGAAAGCTGGCTGGGGTAATTTGGGCCAATCACCAGGAGATTGTGAGTTCTAGTCCTGCCTTAGGTATGAAAGCTGGCTGGGGTAATTTGGGCCAATCACCAGGAGATTGTGAGTTCTAGTCCTGCCTTAGGTATGAAAGCTGGCTGGGGTAATTTGGGCCAATCACCAGGAGATTGTGAGTTCTAGTCCTGCCTTAGGTATGAAAGCCGGCTGGGGTAATTTGGGCCAATCATCAGGAGGTGGTGAGTTCTAGTCCTGCCTTAGATATGAAAGCCAGTTGAATGACTTTGAGTGAGCAGAGTTCTCCTTCTATATCCAAATATATATTTATGACATGATCTTCTGGATATCTCTAGATAATACCATGAGAGTCAGTTTTGAGCCTCAACCAACCAGCGTTGTGCCTGACTCCCTTATCTCTCTCTCTATACAGCTTCTCCGTCTTAATTTATCATGGCTGGTAAAACTGGATCAGAACATCTCTTTAATGCAGCCACTGAGGTCGAGACAACCGGAGCGTTGTTGAGCAACAAGTAAGTTATGACAAGATCATTTTGCTTTTTCTAGCCGGATACCCTTAAAGTGTTGAATACAACTCCTATCCTCCCCAGCCATCACAGCTAAGAGGCCTTGTGGGGTCCTTGATGCTGTCTGAGCTTGATTGTTTTCTTGCAGACGTTTCATTACCCAACTAGGTAGCATCATCAGTGCTAGAAGGGAATAGGATTTGCTTTCATTTTATATACTAGTGGCTTGCCCTGTCAATGTTGGTGGGAGTGGAGTTGATGGTTCCTTGATTGGATTGTTGTTTATCTGGGTTGGTAGTTCCTTGATTGGGGTATTGTTTATTTTTTGACTGTTGGTCCAATGTTAATGTTGGTGTTAATTTCTGTTCAACTGGGTGTTGATTGCTGGTGAGAAGATATTTGGGTCTTTTTGTTTCCTTTTTGGCATTGGATTGTCTCTTTTGAATGGTATATAAATGTTGTTTATCTCTATGTGCCTGTTGATGGCCAATTTGTCTTGAGTGAAATTCCTTAAGAGGAATTGTAATTTAACACTCTTGAGGACAACGGAGTTGGAACACTGCTTTTTAAAAATAGCTGGGGAACTGACATGCCTAGTCACCAGCTCATGGTGGTCCCAAAGTTGCTTTTCAAAAGGCAGCTAGATTCCCCCCCCCCTTTTTTTCCCCCTTCCATGTTTATGTGAAGACCATTCTTCTAATTCTTTCATGCCCTTCTGACTTTGTCCCTTCTAGGATCAACATCCCAGCACTCTTGCCCCAAGGCCCAGCTAAGGAATGGCTAGATCAGCGTCGGGCTACCATTCGCCCCTGGGCCAACTTTGTGGACCAGAGGCGTTTTGCGAAGCCTCAGAATTTTGGGGTGCTGTGTAAACGGCTTGTCCGCAACGTGGAATATTTCCAGAGCAATTACGTCTTTGTCTTCCTAGGACTTATCGTCTATTGCCTGTAAGTAGATTTCATTGCTTCTTTGTTTACTTGTGGGGATGATGAATTCTCCTGATTCTGTGCTGCAAATATCACTGAGGATAGCAATAGCACTTACTTAGAGCTGAGGTGGAGCAGTGGTTAGGGTGCAGTACTGCAGGCCACTTCAGCTGACTGTTATCTGCAGTTCAGCGGTTCTAATCTCACTGGCTCAAGGTTGACTCAGCCT